TTACCAGATACAATCAGCTGTTTTTTTGTTTTTAACAGAAGATTTGAACCTTTAATCTGACTGAATGATCTAATTTAAATGTCTTTGTAAAGTTCCTTAAGATGACATGTTGTGATAACTCACTATAGAAATAAACTCCACTGAGTTTATTACTGAGGAAACAATTATCAATAGATTTTTTAGGACAGTCATATTTTTTATAAAACTGTTGAATAGCAGAACATTTTACTCCTTTATGGGCGTCTTTGATTGTATGAATTAACTAACTTTTAACCCTTTCAGCTAACATTTTTTATTGGGATGGAATCTGTTCTGTTAACATGATTTACTGTATTTATGACTTCCTTTCTGTCCTTATACTATTCTAGAGCTGCTGGTTTGGGATTCACATATATGCTTTGTTTATGAAAGCAGACAGAGCTCTGTTTTTGGAAAAGGATCTGAATTTGCAAATATTCAGATTGAAGTAGTGAAGTAAATTTGAAGTGGTGAATCTCTTTTTAAGATAAGAGAAAAACAAAAGACAATTTGTTAGCCTAAGCCTGTAAACTGTATCGGAGGCTTTGTAGGAGCAGAAAGGTTTACTCTTCATCATGCTCACTCCCAGCTCTGTTGTTTTGTGTGTTCAGGATGATGAAGTGGTCCTTCAGTGCTCGGCTACCATCCAAAAGGAGCAGCAGAAGCTCTGCCTGGCAGCGGAGGGCTTCGGAAACAGACTCTGCTTCTTAGAGTCCATCTCTAACTCCAAGGTACTGAACATGATCTGCAGTAGGTCCAACAATGACCAACAAAGAACTGTTTTATATTAGCAAATACAAAGTTTATTTAAGTTAAACTCATGTTTCAATATTAAAATACTTTCTATTTTATCTGTTTGATTCTTTAATGTTTTTAGGATAATGACTTATTTTTTAGAAAGTTTCAGTGACAAATAAAATCACAATATTTGACATGGAAAAGTCAGCTTAATGAATGGTTCCTGTTGTGCGTCATATGTCTCCATGAATGACTGCATCAGTGCAGCGATGCAGGGAGACGATTGTCTGAATGAGCTTCTGATTCAGGGAGAACATCTCAGCCTGGGAATCCAAAGCTAACGCTGCTAAACTAGAGACAAACGCCTTAATG